AGGATTCGGGCTGACGTCGGCATTTGGTTTCCCCTTATTCCCGTGTTCCACAGGCAATCTAGCAACAACTGAAGCGACGCCGCCGTGAACTACCTGGAGAAGTTTCGTGGCGGAGTTTCCCATACAAAATCCATGGTTAGGTGTCGAAATGACGCTGCGGTTCTCCTCGCATACAAGACAGTGGCTCATCCCATTTCCCCTGTAACATATATGTTTTATGCCCGAGTTCCAACGTTTATTGCTGGAAGTAATTGATGGTCAACAGGTGTAAGCGGCCCTGAATCCGGTTGTCAGACCGAATGTAACTCCAAATCCAGTTGAAGTTGCTGAGGAGACCAGGCACGGTTCCTCGCTCTCATGTTGTCTGTCGACTGGCGCGGTTGGCTTGTAGGTGCTTACTTGTAGTGCCGAATATGTTGTGATGGCTGGCGCGGGAGGTGTACCAAAGGGGTGCGCCGAGGACGTAGTCCAAAAGAAGAGAGGGGCAGTGTAATGCTCTGTTAATGCGACTACCTGATGATTGGCGGTTACCTTAGATTAGATCTGGCCCCTGTACGCGTGGGCTGGCCTTCGGACAACGGTTAGGCCACCGTACGGGAGGCCTAGGGACGCTACATCGAGTAGATGTCTTTCAATTATGCAGACATCCTTTTCAAACTATTACCTAAACACCGTTGAGAACCGTTAGTTACTACCACACGTGGTTATCAGCTAACCACGTTTAATATAAGTGCACACAATTTGGAGTGGGATGTGCGCTTTGTTATGTTTCCAAAAGTTGGATTCAAGCTGTTGGGCAACAGCAGAAACTAACCTAACTAAATAACCTAACAGCTAGATTTTAACTTACCTCAGAAAGAAATTATACTCGCATGATTAGCTCATCCATATTTTAATTCTTTTTTCCCTTCTAGATAAACCATTGTGTAAAAACAACCCGAAAACGTTGGCTATACGCTCTCAAGGTTATTGCAGACATCCTCCCCGTTTAAAAGTTGGATGTTTAAATCGACATCCCTCGTGGGCTTTCAAGGTGGTCTCTGTGTGGTTTGGGTTGCTTGATGTTGTCCCTCTGTGCTCTTACAACAATATGAACTATGTCGTACTATTACATGCTGTATCTTCCCTCCTTATTATCGTTGATATTTCCTCTTATTTTGTGTTGTAGGAATACAATCGCACCTATATCTACTGCTTTTCCCCATTTCTCAGGTTTGGCCTTATCGTCGCCCCGCTTCTGCAGTTCTGAATGGAATCCGCCATCGGATCGACACATCTACTTCCACTAGAGCTAATTGACAAATGCATCGGCTCTCGAATACACATAATAATGAAGAATGATAAAGAAATGGTTGGCACTCTCCTCGGCTTTGATGGTTATGTCAACATGGTGCTGGTGGATGTCACGCAGTTCGAGTTCACGGCGAAAGGCAAGCGCATAACAAAACTTGCTCACATCCTTCTTAATGGAAGTCATATAGCCATGATGGTGCCTGGCGGTGAAGGTCCTGAGATGTGAACACCGTTTTTATTAACTATGTACTTATTTCCTTGCGCTTTTGCCGTAAAATTCTATCGGTTCTGTCTAATCTGTTCGTATTTGTACCTGCTTCTGTCACTTTCCCTTATGCAATATTGCCTTACATCGGCTGCCAACTACCGGACTGCATTCACCTAAGCTTCGGAAACGGTAAGCTCAAATCTTTTCATTGTAAAACAATCCTTATCAAATCATGAACAACTATGCTCTTCAGAGTCTAAGACGTGAGTCAAGTGGATGTGGGGTGATGTTCATTTATTTTCTGAGTTCCTTAACCATGTAGGGTCCCTCAAGTTTGTATCCCAACTTTTTGTAGTAGCCTCGCGTTCCAACTCCCGAGATGACAGCGATTTTCAGTGACCCATGCTCGTTCATCGCAATCCTTTCAGCCTCTTCCATCAGGAGCATGCCGAATCCCTTAAAGTAGAAGTTCGTCGTTAACATTGTTCACAGCAATAGGAACTAACTCATTCCTCCAACCTGGTGCTGGAATTTCGTTGGGTCCTTTGATGAGACTGGGACAGCGCTACCGTAGACGTGTAGTTCCCGGACGATAGAACATCGAGGATCATTATCCTCATCACTGGAATCATGGCATCGCAGTTCTGTTCGGAAAGTTTCAGGAGAACATTTCCTTAGTCTAAGCAAACCGACGAGTATATCCTGATGGGGATCTTCGTATGCGAGGAAAGTCTCCCACCCTCCGTTTGCCACGTAGTCCCGGCGGATAAGTTCAATCTAAGAAAGGTCCCGTTTGGATTAAGATGGTTACGGCAACACGGAGTCCTGACCACGTCTATGTTAGGTAGTTGTCAACACTGAGGATTTTATATTAAAGTTATTCCCGAATCCATAAATAACTAGGA